ATATTACAGATTAGGAGGTGGCCCTGATGATGCTCTCGAGGTCTGCCAGCAGCCATTTTTCAAACCGATTGACTGGGAGAAACTATACCGGAAGGAGATTGAGCCTCCTTACAAGCCATCTGTTCAAAGCGAGACCGACACGAGCTACTTTGACAAGGTAATCGCCCCAGTCACTGAGGTATTTCAAAAATGAATACATTCATGTTTATCACAGGAGTTTACTTCTGCCCCAGTGCAACTTACGCCCCCTCCTGTTCGATCTGGCCCTCTTGCCACCGTTGATGAGCTGGACGAAATGCAATCGAACTTCACGCAGTTCTCGTTCCACAACACTGTATGTGGAAATTATGTGGTCAGAATAGATAGTTTTTTGCCTTTTTTTCAAAATTGACGTTATTTTCAGCTTGACAGCAGTTTACGGGAAGCAAGTGAAATGATGGAGTAATGAAATCCGCCCTTTCATATGATGTGATATTCCATTTATTGAGCATATGGATAATGTGCGCAAGCGCGTAAACTGTGACTTGCACACAGTTGGCTTACCTCGATTTGTTGGGGGAGTAGTCTTTGTTGAACATAACGCATTCCAGCATGAAATTGTATCACAAACCCTGCTTTCGTAGTTGCTTATCTGGTGACATGTATCAGAATATTTTGAACAAAATTCTTGCAGTTCATTAATTATTTTTCCCAATGCTTAACATTTTCGTTAAGCAATTGCTCATTTGTTTCATTATGTGAGTTCGTTAGATCTGTACTGACGAAAATGATTGGCTTGATGCTTTGAGTGAAGTCCCCTCAGCCTTTTGTCGGGACATGATGCAAAGGCTGAAAAGGAGTGTGTAGTTTAGTCAGTACGCTGCAGTGATCAACTGCAAGGTTAAAATGATTTTGCATGGTTTGACAGAATTTAAGATTGTACGTAATTTTGATCTTTGCAATACTGTTGAATTATTGAGAAAATGGAGCACGACTTGCTGCTAGTTCTGAAAGCATTTTGTCTTCTTTTTTTACTTCAAATGAATGTACCATTAGAATTTTTTTCAATTCGCAGCGTTACCACAAATCTTCCTATTTTACTTTATAATTCTTCCCATCAGTTTTTATACCTTTAAGCTTTCGACATTTGTAATAGGCTCAAGGACTGCTTCTGCGAGCACAGCACCATGTGGTTTATAAGTGTCATTTTGCTTTTACCAACATTTTTTAAAAGACAAGTTTGGTCGTTTTTTTT